TGGCCAAAATTAGGGCTCTCCTGGCTTTTCTCCAGACTCGCTGGCAACGTAAAATTGCGAGTCGTGCAGAGGGAACCCGAGCTTCTCTCCCCTGGACTGAAAAAACAGGGGGTTGGAATCCAAAGACAACATGAAAGGGTGAAATACCTGATGTAGAGGATGGAAGAGAGTTGATTGCTTGTTCAATCCAAGGGAGGTTGGACGTCCATTTCCTCGGGTCCCCCTCGCAGAGGAGCCGAAGCTTGGTCTCCACCTCCTGGTTGGTACGCTCAGATTGTCCATCCGTTTGGGGATGAAAACCTGACGAGAGGCTGACCGAGATCCCTAGCAGGTTGCAAAACTCCCTCCAGAACTTGGAAATGAATTGGGGACCTCGGTCAGACACAATGTTCTGGGGGAGCCCATGGAGCCTGAAAACCTCCTTGGCCATGATAACGCTGAGCTCCTTGGAAGAAGGTAACTTGGGGAGAGGAACCAGGTGGACCATTTTAGAAAAACGGTCCACAATGGTCAATAACACTGAATTACCTTCAGAAGGGGGTAATCCAGTCACAAAGTCCATAGCAATATGTGACCATGGGCGTGAAGGAATTGGCAGTGGTCGTAGCAGCCCGGCAGGTGGGCGATTGGAAGACTTGGCACGATTGCATTCGGGACATGACTTGACAAAGTGCTTGGTGTCCTCCGTAAGCGTAGCCCACCAGAATCGGGCGCGAATGAGTTGGAGGGTCTTGGTGATTCCTGGGTGACAGAACAACTTTGATGAATGGCATAATTCAAGAACCTCTTTTACCTTTTGATTGGGGACAAACAGGCGCCCCCTAGGACAGGTGGGTGGACGTGGCTCAGAGAGTTGGACTTGTTGGAGATCGAGTTCTAATTGAGTCAAAGAAAGACGTACGGTCTCAGGTAGGATGAACTCGACCTCTTCTGAGGGCCCTTCCTTGACCTCAAAGACCCGGGACAGGGCATCCGGCTTGGCATTCTTGGGCCCGGGTCTGTAAGAGAGGGTGAAACTGAACCGAGAGAAAAACATAGCCCACCTGGCCTGACGGGGATTGAGTCTCTTTGCTGTGCGAAGGTACTCCAGGTTTTTATGGTCGGTCCATACCAAAAAGGACTTCTTCGCACCCTCCAGCCAGTGCCTCCATTCCTCCAGGGCCATCTTGACTGCCAAAAGCTCACGGTCTCCCACGTCGTAGTTTCTCTCAGCGGGGGAGAGTGCCCTGGAGAAGTAAGCACAGGGGTGGATCTTACCATCTGTGCTGCGCTGACTGAGGATGGCGCCCACCCCGGTGCTGGATGCATCGACCTCCACAATGAATTGTTTCTCGGGGTCTGGAGAGTGCAAGATTGGAGCAGAGGAAAACAATGTTTTGAGTTTCTGGAATGATTGGTTGGCAACGGAGTCCCAGATGAACTTGGTCTTAGATGAGGTGAGAAAATGAAGAGGAGCTGCAACTGAACTGTAGTTCTTAATGAACCTCCTATAAAAATTTGCAAAACCGAGAAACCTTTGCAGCTGTTTACGATCCTTGGGCTTGGGCCAATCCACCACCGCTGATACCTTCCCGGGTTCCATGGATACTTGACCTGGAGAAATGTTGAACCCAAGGAATGAGGTGGACACTTGGTGGAAAGCACACTTCTCTGCCTTGACAAACAAGTTGTTCTGTAAAAGGCGGGTTAAGACAGCTCTGACATGGCGACGGTGAGAAATGCTATCTTGTGAAAAGATAAGTATGTCATCAAGGTAAACAAAAGCGTAAATGTTAATCATGTCACGAAGGACATCATTAACCAGGGCTTGGAAAACGGCAGGAGCGTTGGTGAGGCCGAAAGGCATAACAAGATATTCATAATGGCCATCTGCGGTATTAAAAGCCGTCTTCCATTCATCTCCCCGCCGTATCCTGACCAAATGGTAAGCGTTGCGAAGATCCAGTTTGGTGAATATCTTAGCATTTTGGATTATATCGAAAGCAGAGTTCATGAGGGGCAGAGGATACTTGTTCTTTATGGTTATTTTGTTAAGTTCTCTATAGTCAATGCATGGACGAAGTGACCCATCTTTCTTCCCTACAAAGAAAAAACCTGCACCAGCGGGGGATGCTGAAGGTCTAATGATACCAGCTTGGAGGGACTCTGTTATATATTTCCTCATGGACTCTTGCTCGGGACCAGACAAAGAATATAATCTACCCCGAGGGGGGGTAGAACCTGGGATCAGGTCAATACCACAATCGTATGGACGATGTGGCGGAAGGGACGTAGCTTTTGATTTATTAAAGACCTCTTTCAAATCATGGTACTCTTTAGGTACCTGACTTAGATTAGGATAGGTCTCCTCATTGGCTGTGACAAGGGCTGGTGAACTGGGTTGGCTCTGAATACATGTAGAATAACACTCATTAGCCCATCCTACAATCTCTTGGTTCCTCCAATCGATTTGGGGGTTGCGTTTGCGTAACCAAGTGGAACCTAAAACCACTGGGAGTTGGGGTGAATCAATAACAATGAATCTGATCAGTTCCGAATGGTTGTTGGCCGACACCATGGTGACTGGAACAGTTTCAAGACTAGATTGACTTAAAGGATGACCATCTAAAGCGAGGACCTTATGGTTGTTAGGTGATGGAACAATGGTCAGATCTATGGATTTGGCAAAGGTTTTATCAATGAATTCCGTGTCGGCCCCTGAATCAATAAAAGCTGAGACGATGACGGGTTGACCACCCTTTATTATGAACTTGACCTTGGACTTGGACATGATAGGTGGAGAGGACTTGATCTTATGACTAAGACTCAACAGGAGCCTCTCTTCTCCTGCTGAGCCTGGTCTTTTTACTGGACAATGATGACAATCATGACCGCCTTGACCACAATAAAAACAGAGATGGTACCTCCTCCGACGTTCTCGTTCCTGGGTGGTCAGACGACTTCTTCCTAGTTGCATGGGTTCCGTAGCATACAGAGGATCCTGAGGGCTCTTGATTTGTTCCGTTTTAGGTTCATGATCCACAAGGTGATGTCTGGTTCTGGACATGGCTGTGGCCTTGCCTCGACTCTGTTCACGGTCACGCTCACGCTCACGCAGGCGAAGGTCAACACGGGTGGCCACCTCCTCCAGCTGGCGTAGGGATGAGGGATAGTCCATTGTTGCCAGCACATCCTTAACATCTTCATTAAGCCCCCTGAAGAAGGCGTCAGTGAGTGCGTGTTCATCCCAATGACTGTCTGCTGAAACAGAGTGAAAGTGAATGATGTATTTGGTTACAGAATCCTTGCCTTGTTTAATATCAAAAATTCTTCGGGCTGCCTCTCTCTCAGGGAGGATGGGGTCAAAAACCCGACACAACTCTTTGGAAAATTCAGAAAAATTACGACATACCACGCCACCTTTTAACCATTCAGAAGTGCCCCACGTCTTGGCTCTTCCAGCGAGAAGTGAGACAGCATAAGCTACTTTAGCATGCTCAGTGGGAAAACATGAAGGTTGCAATTGAAATTGAATGTCACACTGAGTCAAAAATGGTCGACATTGCTCAGGCTCACCTCTGAAATGTTCAGGGGGGGCTAACCGTGGTTCTCTTGGTGCAGGAGTCAACAGGGTTTGGTTGATGACTTGGTTTGACTGTTGGGACAAAGCTTGAAGAGAAACAACCATTTCCTGAAGCCCTTTCTCAAGTTTACTAACAGCCCCTTCTACCTTAGAGCACCACTCTCGGGTTGGTGTTGGATCCATAATGGCCAGATTCTACTGTCATGAACCAGAGGCCGGATCGCAAACAACAACAACAACAACCACTGAGAGGGTTAAAAGATTTATTGTGAAATAAAGTAAAACTCTGGAGTAGGTCCTGCTCTGGGCTGGTTCCGATCTTCTGATTGGTAGTTCGTGATTGGGTAGTGTTGTAGTGGCGGGCTGCCAGTAGAAGTAGAACTGATGTTAAGGTCCACTGGAACGGAGTCCAACAGGCTTGCAACTAAAAGATAAAGGTTAGTAGATGCAGGGGGAAAGAGACTAATTGGGGAAATGAATCTGTGGGAATCAGATTCAGGGATAAGGATAAGTCCGTGATACAGAATGAGCTTGACCTTTAATCCGTGATCCAAAAAACAGTCAGAAGGGAAAGGCAGAGTTCATACCGTGAAGTCAGTTGTTCAGCAGAAGTATCCAGTACGTGATCCAAAAAGAGAGTCAAAAAACAAGAGCATGAGTCGGTACCTGATCAGATGAGCAAAAGCAGACGAGGGCTGAGGCAAAAGCGTGGTCGTGGTCAAGGCAAGGGTCATGAACGTGATGAGTCAATCAATGGAATGCTGGAAAGTCTACTGCTGATGAGACAGGATAGAGAATCTGGCCCAGACTGAGAGGAATGAGTGAACTTAAGTACTGACTGGACCAGGTGGTGGAGCTGTGGGATAATGAGCGGTGACAGGTGACATGAGTTGAGTGATTACTGAGTGTGCAGCATGACAGAGGAGCTGACAGAGAGCAGAGCTATGACAGGTCAGAACTCCTCCAGAACCATGAGGGATAAACAGGAAACCACTGCTGCTGAACTAGGTTCTCCAAGTCTCTGGATCAGGACCTGGAACCAGTTTTTTTTTTTTTTGTGAAGTATTGTCTCGATGGAACTTGTGTGTTTTTGTTTACATGAAGTCAGATTTGAATTAAGGATTTCAGAACATAAAACCCTGAAACACTTTTGGATTTCTTTTTTCTCCTAACCATGAATGTTGTTGTTTTGTTCTTGATTGACAGGTTACATCTTGTACTACACGCTGGATAAAAACATACTGATCGATGACTGGGCAATGGAGGCCATTAGCGGTGACCGGCTGACCCACCAGGTCGTGGATCTGAACCTTGACACTGTTTATTACTTTAGGATTCAGGCCAAGAACGCCAAAGGGGTCGGACCCCTATCCGAGCCCGTCCAGTTCAGGACAGCCAAAGGTCAGTCTGTCAGAAGCTGGAGTGCCAGTCAGAGGAGTGGGGCATGGGTGGAGGAGGCAGAGCCTAATTACTCCTCTTTCTGGTTGTGCTCAATGAGCAGAGAATCCACCGTTAACTGTGAAGTCAATAAAAATTATTTTGTATCATTCAAATGTGTTTCTTCTTCTGTTTCACTTCCAGTGGAACTTCCTGACAAGATGGCCAACGATCAAGGTAGGACTTTCCCTTTTTGTTCCTTCAAATTAAATTCAAAGACTCAAAGAAAAATCTTTCTTCTATATCTGTCTTCCTGTTTGATGTTTCATCTCTGAATCAGAATAAACTTTGTCCTCCTCTGGAAACTTTACCACATTCATCTCATGCTTTGAAAGTTTTCTTCAACATTGTCTTCCTGCGTTTCTTCAAATGTCTTGTTTTTTTTTTAAGTGTTTATTCTTTAAGAGCAACAAGTGGAAGTGAACTGACTTGAATTGGTCAGCATGCACAGTATTGGACGGGACGGTTGCTATGGCGGCGCACAGAAAGTGCAGCGGCTTCTCATGCTCCCGCGTTTAAGCCTTATTTTAATTCCTATGAGGCTGTTTTACTGGTTCAGTGCTGTATTCGCTGCTCAGGTACAGCTCAACCGAGCTGATGACCATCAGAGACAGTTCGGTTGATTTTTGAAATCCGCACTCAGCAGTCAGCAGCTCCTGAGGACAATGGAATGGCACAGCAGTATGGCGCAGTGAGGGAGAGGAGCAACGGTCAAAAGGAAGAGGGGGAAGCAGAGGCCGCATTGGCCCAGCTAAAGGCTAGAAAAACCACTGATTTCTACTCTCTTTCTGACCAATTTCTACTCACTGGATAGCAAAGTGGACTTGTTACATCTGAGGATGAGTGTTTGTAAAGAGATGAACTGTGCTGTTCTTACAGAAACCTGGCTTAACAACAACAACATGCCGGACTCAGCCTTCCAGATCAACGAGCTTCAGTTATTCTGAGCAGATTGTGACCATCGGTCGGGATAAACATTCAATTCAATTCAATTCAGTTTATTTATATAGCGCCAAATCACAACAAAGTTGTCTCAGGGCACTTTACAGGAACATTCACATAAAAGCCAATTAGTAAAGTTCTCTATCTAAGGAATCCAGCAGACAAGTTGAATCTTGGCTTTGTTGCAGTCTCCCATCCTGAGCAAGCACAGTGGCAACAGTAGAAAGGAAAAACTCCCTTTAACAGGAAGAAACCTCCAGCAGAACCAGGCTCAGGACAAGCGGCCATCTGCTTTGATCGGCTGGTTGAGAGGACAGGAAGGAGAGACAGACGAACATAGAATGGTAGGTCCAGGTATAGGTCCAGGTGTATCTGAAAGACAAAAAAGACACATGTTAAGGATAGAAAAAAATAATTACAAATACAAAACAGGTTGAGCAGAGTAAGTAAAGACAGTATTAGAGTGAAAATTGTGGTCAGTTTGTCCTCCAGCAGTCTAAGCCTATAGCAGCATAACTAAGGGACAGCTCAAGAAACCCAAGCCAACCCTAACTATAGGATTTATCAAAAAGGAAAGTCTCAAGTCTAGTTTTAAAACTGGATAATGTGTCAGCCTCACGGACAGAGATTGGCAGTTGGTTCCACAAGAGAGGAGCCTGATAACTTAAAGATCTGCCTCCCATTCTGTTTTTGTAAATTCTAGGAACCACAAGTAAACCTGCAGTCTGAGAGTGAAGTGCTCTGTTAGGAAAATATGGAACAATAAGATATGTAATATAAGATGGAGCTAGGTTGTTGAGAGCTTTGTAGGTTAGAAGTAAGATTTTGATTTCTATTCCGGACTTGACAGGGAGCCAATGGAGAGAAACTAAAACTGGAGAAATATGATCTCTCCCAGTAACTCCAGTTAAGACTCTAGCAGCAGCATTTTGGATCAACTGAAGACGTTTTAAAGAAGTATTTGGACACTCAGATAATAAATCATTGCAATAGTCCAGTCTAGATGTGACAAATGCATGGACCAGTTTTTCTGCATCATTTTCAGATCAGATGTTTCTAATTTTAGTGATATTACGCAGGTGGAAGAAGGCAGTTCTAGTAACGTTTTTAATGTGGGGGATAAAAGACATGTCCTGATCAAAAATAACACCAAGATTTTTAACATTAGAGCAGGAGGACAGATTAATGCCATCTAAGGAGGGAGAAAGACTAAAAAATTTGTTCCTAAGGTGCTCAGGTCCAAAAACCAAAACGGGGGGGGGGGGGGGGGCATGGGGGGGGACTCTGTGTGTTTGTAAATGAAGGAAGCTGTGGAGATCTGGACATGGGAGCTGTGAGTGCTCTGTCCTGAGGAGCTATCGCTGTGTGGTGAGTATCGTTCTCTGTAGTGATGTGCGGATCATATTAAAATATTGATTACTATCAATACTATCTATACCAGAACGTTTCGCTGTAGAATTGATGTTTAAATCAAACTATTGATACTTTTGATACTTCAGTCATTTCAAGTAAGGCATATCATTAACAGCAAGATGGTGGAAAATGCTGGTGAAGATTCTCAGTCATCCAGGACATGATGAATTCAAAAAGAGTTCAATACAAAAACAACTGGACTTTATTTGTAACAGAAGACGTTTGGTCCTCATCCGAGGAGCTTTCTCAATTCAAAGAGCAGTGAGTAAGGGCTGAGTGAGCAAACTTTGCCATCTCCCCTCAAGAAATACCTATTGTGGAACTAATCACGGCCACTGAATCTGCAATTAGGAACAACAACTTGACGGAAGGAGAGGCAGAACAGCTCAGAATGGAAATATCAGCAACCCTCTCCAGTGCCAAACCGGCTCCTTCAAACCTCACACCACAGGAAAGGAAAGCTGTAACATCACTCAGCCAGGACCAAAACATCACCATTTTACCAGCTGATAAAGGAAGATGCACAGTAGTCCTCAACACTTCTGATTACCGGGAAAAAATAACTACACTACTGAGCGACAGCAACACCTACGAGACCCTGAAGAGGGACCCAACCAGCACCTATTAAAAGAAAGTCACAGATCACCTGCAAAAACTTGAAAAGGAGAAAACAATCAATCTATCTTTGTATTATAGATTGTACCCAGGGGAAGCCACTCCCTGTCTTTATGGACTTCCAAAAATACACAAAAAAGGAACACCACTCAGACCCATCGTCAGCAGCATGAACTCAGTGACATACAATATTGCTAAACATCTGGCTGGTATTTTAGCTCCTCTTGTAGGAAACACACCTCATCACATAAAGAACTCCATTGATTTTGCCAACAAAGTTCAACATTTGAAACTAACCCTAGGAGAAACCCTTGTATCGTATGATGTGACTTCTCTTTTCACTTGCATACCCATCTCTGAAGCAGTAGAAACCGTCAGAAAACAACTTGTACAAGAGAAGGACTTAATCAACAGGACCAACTTCACCCCGGACCAGATCTGCACCCTGTTGGACCTCTGCATCTCCACCACTTATTTCAAGTTCAATGACAGTTTTTACAGACAGAAGCACGGCTGTGCCATGGGCTCTCCAGTGTCACCCATTGTTGCCAATCTCTACATGGAGGAAGTGGAACAGAGAGCCCTAAACTCCTATGAGGGAACAACGCCAAGCCATTGGTTCCGATATGTGGATGACACCTGGGTCAAAATCCAAGCTAAGGAAATAGAAGCGTTCACCAGACACATTAACTCGGTCGATAACAACATCAAGTTCACCAGAGAGGATTCAAATGACAACAAACTGCCTTTTTTTGGACTGTTTGGTTCAGATGGAAAGAGAGGACAGCCTAAACATTAAAGTTTACAGAAAACCAACCCACATAGACCAGTATCTTCTGTTTGACTACCACCATCCACTGGAACACAAACTCTCTGCCATCAGAACTTTACAACATCGGGCCGAACGCATCTCCACGAAGACAGAAGGGAGGGAAAAGTAACAGAAACACATTCAAGAAGCTCTTCAAACATGTGGACATCCTAACTGGGCTTTTATCAAGTCAGCAAGGAAATCTACAAAACACACTAATAAACAGAAAAAGGACAACAGCAGACGTAAAAACATTGTCATCCCTTATGTTGCTGGATTATCAGAGAAATGCAGAAGGATCTTCAACAAACACAAGATCCCAGTACATTTCAAACCCAGCAGGACTCTCAGACAGAGACTGGTCCACCCTAAGGACAAAACACCCATACACATACAGAGTGGTGGAGTGTATGCGGTCCAGTGCAGCGAGGACTGTCCAGACCTCTACATTGGAGAAACTAAACAGCCTCTTCACAGACGCATGGCTCAACACAGGAGAGCCACCTCCACAGGACAAGACTCAGCTGTTCACCTCCACCTCACAGATAAGGGACACTCTTTTGAAGACCAACATGTGCACATTTTGGACCGAGAACACAGATGGTTTGAGAGGGGGGTGAAGGAAGCAATTTATGTAAAAAGAGAAAAGCCGTCTCTTAACAGAGGAGGAGGCCTCAGATTTCCGCTTTCAAAAACATATATTGCAACTTTAAAACAGATTCCCAGATGGTTTTCACACTTGATTAGATGAACAAAGATCTACTGTTAAGGTGTTTAGGTGTGAACTGCCAATCTACATATGTGTGTGTGTCCTATGTGTGTGTGTCTTATCTCACTCAGCCTTATAACCTGAATCTCTCACTCACTGCTCTTTGAATTGAGAAAGCTCCTCGGATGAGGAGCGAAACGTCTTCTGTTACAAATAAAGTCCAGTTGATTTTGTATTGAATGCTTTTTGAAGATGGTGGAAAGTAATTAAACTATTGAGATCTTGTCTAAATGATACAAGGTTGGAGGGAACTACTTTTTTCCACCTGAGTAAGTGCGTAATGCGTTTCAGCGTAGCGGCACGCTGCTCGTCAGTCTCTCAGTCTGTAGACACAGCGGCGGAGTTTAACAAAGTCATTTGTGGAGCTATTTCAGCTCCAGAAACAGTCGAGAAGCAGTTTGCGACGTTTGTGGAAAATCTGTAAAGAGCTGTAGCAACACAACAAACCTTGTAAAACACTTCATCTTAAATCACAACACAGAATATGAGGCATTGATGCGGTGGATAGAGGAGGAGAGTTAGGTGCTGCTGCTCTGGAAGAGTCCTTCAGGGCTGCAGGACTAACCAGGTACAGAGGGAGGAAATGTGGAGCTTTCAGCAGTGCTAAGAACTGCTGCAGTTGGAGTT